CTTGTCTCCTCCTCCTGATGTCACCTTCCCGTAAGCCCACTCCTTTCTGGTTCCTGAAGAGCTTATAAGTCCCTGTGCTACCTGTGCTGGGAACCCGTTCCACCTCTCAGACTGAGCTGGGCCAGGTCTGGACCAGGCTCAGGGAGGCTCCTACCACATGGAGAGGATTTCGGTTGCCCTGAGTCTACCTCTGCCCCCGCTGTACAGCATCAGGATCCCAGATGGTCCCATTCTCCTCGTGCCAGGCTTTAGGAACAGGCAGGCTGGGTAATTACACTATCCTAACAAACCCCCGCCCCCGTTTGACTCTCTTTCAACTGCAAGAAGCAGGAGGTTTCTCCCTGCTTCTCCGCTGCATGAGCGCTGGCCTCTGCCTCTGATCCTCTGAAATTCCAGGTGGCGTGAGGGGCCTGGGGAAGCCAGGAAAACGCCCTGACCCTCTCGGCATCCCGGAGATTGAGAAAGGGCTTGCTGTCCATGCTTGCCATATCCCAAAAGAAGCCAAGTCCCTCCCTCCTCCCACTTCGGAACTTTTTTTTTTTTTTTGAGATGGGGTCTCGCTCTGTCACCCAGGCTGGAGTGCAGTGGCACGATCCCGGCTCAATGCAACCTCCACTTCCTGGGTTCAAGCAATTCTCCTGCCTCAGCCTCCTGAGTAGCTGCCGTTACAGGCACATGCCACCATGCCCAGCTAATGTTTGCATTTTTAGTAGAGATGGGGTTTAATCATGTTGGCCAGGCTGGTCTCAAAGTCCTGACCTCGTGATCCAACTGCCTCAGCCTTCCAAAGTGCTGGGATTACAGGCGTGAGCCTCCGTGCTGGGCCGGAACTATTATTAATTTCCATGGGTTCACTTCTCAACACTGGCCTAGGGTTCCCACCTAGAACCCCTTTGTTATTGAGACAGAGTCTCGCTCTGTTGCCCAGTTAGGAGTACAATGGCTTGATCTTGGCTCACTGCAGCCACCTAGAACCTTAATAGCCCCTTCTTCCACACCAGATCATATCTTACCCTAACAGTCCCGAAGGCCCCTGAGGGAGGAACTTGAAGTGGACTCTGGGCTCTGAGGCCTTGGGATCCAGTCACAAGGTTACACCTCTCAGTTCAGGTAACTGCTCCATCCTCCCTGCCTTCACAGCCCCCAGCAGCAGTTGGGTGCTAGGTCTTCCCAGTGTGCATGTCTTGTAATAGAGAGACACTCTTTTGACCTGCCCATTATCCATTTCTCCTGGCAACAGCTTTGGATATTTGGCTTGGGGGAACTGTTTCCACTGGTATAGTCTTGGTGGACTGTTAATGAAGGCTACCTCCATTCCCTGGCCAAGGGATTGGCATGTGACCCAAGGTCAGCCAATCAGATACTCTCTCGTCCTTGAATTTTTTTTTTTTTTTTAATAGAGATGGGGCCAGATGTGGTGGCTCATGTCTGTAATCCCAGAACTTTGGGAGGCCAAGACAGGCAGATCATCTGAGGTCAGGGGTTTCAGACTAGCCTGGCCAACATGGTGAAACGAGATCTCTACCAAAAATATAAAAATTAGCCAGGCATGGTGGCGTGCACCTGTTATTTCAGCTACTAGGGCGGGTGAGGCAGGAGAATCACTTGAACCCAGGAGGCAAAGGCTACAGTGAGCTGAGATTGCACTCCAGCCTGGGCAACAAAGTGAGATTCTGTTAAAAATAAATAAATGAATGAATAAATTAATAAATAAAATAGAGATGGGCTCTTACTCTCTTGCCCAGGCTGTCTCAAACTCCTGGGCTCAAGGGATACTCTTGCCTCAGCCTCCCAAAGGGATGGCATTACAGACATAAGCCACTGTGCCTGGCCACCTCCTTGAATCTGAAATGGAATGACATGAAAATGGGACCCAGTATAGAGGCTCACACCTGTAATCTCAGCACTTTGGGAAGCCTTGGCTGGAGGAGCGCTTGAGACCAAGAGTTCAGAAACAGCCTGGGCAACATAGCAAGACCAGTCTCCAGAGAAAGAAAGAAGAAAGAAGAAAGAAAAAGAAAGAGGAAGAAAGAAAGGAAGGAAGAAGGAAGGAAGGAAAGAAAGAAAGAAGAAAGAGGAAGAAAGGAAGGAAGAAGGAAGGAAGGAAGGAAAGAAAGAAAAAAAAAGAAAGAAAAAGAAAAAGAAAGAAAGGGAAAGAAAGAAATATCTTTGGCTAGAGTCACAGAAGCTAGAAAAAAAAGGAAGGAAAGAAAAAGAGAAAAAAGAGGAAAGAAGGAAAGGAGTAGAAAGAAAGAAGAAAGAGAAAGAAATGAAGGAAGGAAGAGAAAGAGAGAGAGGAAGGAAAGGAGGAAGGAAGAGAGAAAGGAAGGAAGGAAAGGGAGTTAATGTATCCCCAATGCAGCACCATAAAGGGATTGCTCCTTAGCCTTTCATTTCACTATCCTGCTTCTTCCTATTTCTGGGACAGCCTCTTTAGCATTTTCTTTGATTCTGTTAGCCACCCTCATTTCTTCCTAATACAATCATTCTTTGCTTACATTAGCTAGAGTTTTTCTGTTGCTGGCAACCAAAGCCTCCTTACCCATATACATTTCACCTTCTTAGAGGAGCAGAGGGATGTGCCCCTGTGGTGGGCTCATATCTGGAGTCTCTGGCAGGGATTCAACTCTCGCCTGGTCCCAGAATGAGAGGGAAGAAAGCCCTGCTGCTAGTGGATGTGTGTCACTCCCCACCTCAGGGGCCCCGTCTTTGTGGCCTGTCTTGCCAGGATCCACTCCCAGCCTAACCTCCAGGTCTCAACGAAATAGCTAAGTTTACCCCCATGACTCCTTATCACAAGTGGCTCAGGCTGGTGTCATGGTTATTTTCCACAAATAGCCAGCTCATTCTTGTGCTGTGCCCTTGCTCTTGGTGTTCTGGGACACCTTATCTCAGGGTAAGCTGGGCCCCCCGCACCCTCTGCCCCAGCCCCTCCCTTGCCTTCATACCTCAGGCCACATCCTGCCTCTTCTGAACCAACACCTCACTGGGTTCCCTCTGATGTGGGATAGGCAGGGCAAGTGATCTGTGTGGTTGAGCTCCGTTTCCTTTGTAGACTTCAGTCTTTGAGGACTTGACTACAAGCTCCAAGTGCATTGTTACTTTTCTTTCTTGGACCTCAGTGTCAAGCATGAGGCTGGGCACACAGTCAATGGCCATGTTGATTTCTCCACCCCTAGTTTGAAAATTGTTCCCACCCTGTGATCCATATTCTTCATTCATTCATTTACCCAACATTTATCAAGCACCTACTAAGTGTGGGTTCCGTCCTGGGTGCTGGAGGGACACACCGAATAAAACATAGCTGAGGAATTCAGTCTCATGGTGAAAATTTATTGAGAATTAAATGTAGCAGAAAATAACCAAGCCTAGTTTTTCTCAGCTGCAGGCTCACCTCAAAAGAGCGAAAGGCATTTCATCCCTGGAGCAAGGGGCGGTAGAGAGCCAGACTTTATGTCCTTGAAGTGTGGACTTTCTTGACCCCCATGAGGGTTGGTGTAGCTCAGAGGAGAAAAGAGAAGCTGCAAGCAGCAGGATACCCAGAATACAACTTCCAAACAGACTTTTTATTTTTTTGAGACAGAGTCTTGCTCTGTCTCCCAGGCTGGAGTGCAGTGGCATGATCTTGTATCACTGCAACCTCTGCCTCCTGGGTTCAAGCCATTCTCCTGCCTCAGCCTCCCCATAGCTGGGATTATAGGCATGCACCACCACACCCAGCTAATTTTTGTATTTCTGGTAGAGGCAGGGTTTCACCATATTGGCCAGGCTGGTCCCAAACTCCTGACCTCGTGACCCACCCGCCTTGGCCTCCCAAAGTGCTGGGATTACAGGCATGAGTCACCACACCCAGCCTAAACAGATTTTTTTTTTTTTTTTTT